TTTGGATTGGGAGTTTTTGTTTGGGGGGGGGGGGGGGGGGGGAAAATGGTTAGGTGTGGGGGAGAGTAAAAGCCGGGGGGGGGGGAAGCCCCGGCCAAAAACAGGGTAAAAAGGGGTAAAACTTGCCCCCCCTTTTTAAACGGATTATTTAAAAAAAAATCCCCCCCGCGTAAATAAGGGGCGGGGCGATGTTTGGTTCCAGGGTTACCTTTTTGGGGCCCTTAAACTTCCCCATGGGAAAGGGGGGGGGGGGGGGCCCGCACACGGTTTTTTTTTCTTTTTTGGGGGCCTGGGGGGCTTGGACCCAGTGGTGTCTTGGGGGGGGGTTACCCAGGGGCCCAGCCACCCTTTTTCCTTTGGGTAAAAAAAGGGGGGGGGGGGGGGGTTTGTGTGTGTTTGTGACGGGGGGTTTTGGGGGGGGGGGGGGGGAGGAGGAGATAGAGAAATAGAGATAAATGGGCATGGGCAGGCGTCGCGTCTGACTGCCATTTTGTGGTTTGCCGTTATTTCATGATGCATTGACCGACGCTCACCTTTCTCTACACCACCGTAGGTTTCTCTACACCACCGCAGGTACTGCTGTCGGTGAACCAGCCCTCCTCCCCACCCCCGGGGGCCGAGGCAAAACGAGAACACACGGGAGAAAATACCCATTCTTGGCAAAACGTGAAGGCAAGTCTCACCATAGATGGCTAACCGCTTGAACTCAAGGGCGGCCAGAAAAGAGCCCAACGTAAACGACTCCGTCGCCGCCGTCTTGAACGCCAGCGCTTGCGCCATGATGTCACCGATGCCACAGATCACCCCGGACGTGACGACCTTCGGGTTTTGGAAACACAGCAGCAGTGTACGGTGAGGCAGGGGGAAAAATACACGAAGCCTTGTCAGCTTTACTTCGTGCGGAATCGATGACACTGCCGTGCCGCACACGCTCCAGGGTGTTTTTTTTTCACACCCATGTGCTGTTCTCATCACTCGTCAGGCTGAATTGCAGCCAAACCTTCTTTCTCTACACGTACAGTACATTTTCCGGAAAACGGGCTTAAGAAAGGCCATCCGCCCTTTCGAGTGTGCCATCTGACGGTGGACTCTGTCTATGTCACATCGAGATGCTGGTGGGGGGCGATACACCTGGTAGACTTGCACAAGTCTCCGCCTGGAAGCCGACTCGTCACACCTCAACTCAAAAAAAGACACGTGTAGCTTCCCGTCGAAGCGCGGCCTGCCGTGGTACGCGGTGTCAATCCATATCGTTTGCGATCTGCGAACCTTGGTGATGATGGGTTTGGTGTCTAGGGCGCGGAGGTAGGAGGCGAGGAGACCATCGCCGCCGTTCTTGTTGCCCGATTCCACCACGAGGCCGCCATTGTCGGGGGCGGGCACCGCTACCCCGCGTCTGCGCAGGAGGACCCCGCCGCGAGCTCGTCTTACGACACCTGATAAGGTTTTACAACAGTGGGGGGGGGGGGGAGGGGGGGTTAGTGTCGGTTGAAAACTGCCGGTGTCCGGTATACACAGTGCCGGTACGCACAGATTGAATCATCTTGTACTTTGAATAATGTCGGTGTCCGGAATAGAGCCGGTCTATTATCTGGGCTCATACCGGCACTAAACAGCCCCCCCCGCTGAATAGAGTAGTAGATCGATCGTCAATCATAGCAGTCGGAGCTCTTCAACTACAAGTACAGAGAGGGAAGGCCATACTTCCAGGAGCGCAAAAAAAAAGAACGGAAAAAATGCTCAAGCATACAGTATGTCCCGTGCGGTTGGTGTGATGTACAACTATCTGCGGGCCTTGTCGGCATGATACCGCGTGATCTCTCGACTGCGAGAGTGAAGTGCACGTCAAGCGCTATTGTACGGATGTTCAGCTCTTCTCCCTTTCTCGTGTCCAGCCTTGTCAGCACACAATAATAAAAAAAAAATGCCGTGTTTCTCCACGCCATTACTTGTATACACACACAAGCAGCAGCGGTGGCCGGCACGTCGTATCACGTACTGGTACCACTGGAGAGCACCAGCCAAGGAACACAATTCCTCTCTGCAGCGATGACATGTTTGCAATGACATGTTTTTATGAGGAAAAACATTGCTACTACTGTCATCGAAACGTATTTTTTTCTTTTCACGCGACAGAAAAAATGGCAACATGTCCACCGACAACCATGGAGCGCTTTCGTGGAGGAAGATGTAAAGCACCAAAAGACACAACCGAGGAGGGTTTGTTAGAAGAAGATACCCATCCAATCAATGATAGTTGAGACTATCCGTTAGAGAGAACGGTACCCTCGAAGTCTAGTTTCGGTCAAAGATTGTTAGGGCGGAAGATCCAAGATCTGCAGAGTTAATCTTCCATCTCCCTCCATGCGTGTTTTTGTGTTTTTGCCCCGGCTGGTATCACTGGTTTCTCAGAAGAGTTCAGGAAACAGACGTATCTACATAGAGCAGTAACCCCAGTGTCCAGCAGATGCCACGAGAACCTCTTTAACACACACGTCACACCCCGCTGAGAAACACTTTGATCTCGAGCAAGTGTAACATAACGAGGCGGATGCCGCGGTTGAACAACTCCATTCGAACGCTGACGCTCACTGAACGCTGCTACAGTACTACAATGCTGTAAGAATGTGGAAACACCTGACCTTTTTTTTTTTTTTTTCTTAATATGACACAACGAATCCATCTCTATCTATAGAAAAGATATTCCTCTCAACGTCGCCCCCTACGTCATCCTCGGTACGTACATGTCTCATTCCACCTATGCTCTACCACGCCCCTCGCTAAACAAAGAATCCCAGCGTGAAGATTCTGCTGGGGCATTCCAACACAGAGATCAACTCGCGTAGGGGTCTTGGTGGTTTGGATGCTTGGGAGCGGTGTGTGAGGACGTCATGGGTCAGGGAGGGGAAGACAATATGTGATTATATACATGTATCATTCGAACAACCTTTATTTGAAAGTCTACATGTAGACTTGACTATCCGTACGAAAATCTGCAACAACAGCAGAGTGATCTCAAGGTATGTCCGATAGCATTTATTTGCAGAAGCAGGCAAGAGAAAGAGGGATCGAATAAAGGGTTGACGATGGTCTCGACGCGCACCTTCACGAGAGCGCGACCCAGTACTACAGCAGCACAGCAGTAGTAGTAGCAGGTGCATGTGTACTTGTGTGACGAAGCACACGTCATCAACCGTCGTCTTCTTCTGCGACACAACAAGCTGGGTTCGCGCTCGTTCATGGATCATACCATGTGTGTTCAGTCGTACATATGGCTACGCATTGGGCTTCGGAAGGAGCCTGACCGAGAGAGCGATTCCTCACCAAGCTGCTGCTCCACGCCATCGATAGCCCTTGGCGGCGTGGCTGCTGGGCTAGGCACCCCTCCTCCGCGCGTGGTCACGACTCCAGCAAACGCCGAAGAGGCATGGCACGAGCACAGCGCTAGTGCGAGCGAAAGAAGCTGGCGAGAGTTGACCATGATCACAAACACTCCTCTGGCGCTTGCGACGAGTAGGGGCTGCGAGTGGGGGAGGGTATATGTGAATGACGCGTACGTATGATATGCCTGTCAACAACAATGTGCTGCCGCTGCTGTTAGCAGCATTCGTACTTTCTTACTGTAAGAGAAGAACAAAAACGGCTCCGGGGAGGATACGGGGAGGTGCCCATGCCCGGCATCCCTCTATTCATGCTAGAAACCCCGTGTGAACAATCGGTTGCTTGCTAGCTGTAGTGCAGTTGGTATGGCGGCGTTTCCAGTGCAACGCCATACGTTGGTGCTGTGGAAGTCCTTTGTTCATTGCCTGTTTGGCACCACACGGGCCAGACCTTTGGTTCACGTTTCTGATTAGTACGTGATCGATCATCGACAGAGTTCTGGCAGCCCACAATTACATAATTGGTAATTGTTTTTACCAGGATATCCCCAGCTTGCCAACGAGCGCGGAGCATTCCAGGAAAATTTCCTTTCAACAAGCAACCATACCGCATGATAATCCTGCAGACCCCACCGCCTCCTCGTCCCCCCCCCCTCCACTCGCGCAAACTGCACACGGACCTTCTTCAGAAGCAAGCGACTACGCCAAAGACCAAAGACGGTGCTCACGCGGGAGTGTCCCTCTACGCGGGTGGCCAACAGGTTAGGGTTAGGTGAGGCCTTCTGTACTTTGGGGTCTTGTACGGCTGGCTGTTGCTGTTGGGGGTTTTGAGCAAGGTTTGTAGGTTTTGGGTGGGGAATGAGCCGAGTGTCAGGGCGGCTCATCGGAGAATGGTTGACACACAGAAAGGGCAGCAATCTCGGCACTAAACGTAAAACCTTTTGGTACACAACACCGATTGATGTGAGCCAGGAGTGCACCGTGGACGAGTGCGGTTGTTGAACTGCGCGTATGTGCCAGAGGGTGAGTTGCGTGTTCAGATAAATGTACACGGACAGCAAAAAAGGTTTTCAAGTTTCCCTCCAAGTTCCGCCCAGGTGGGAAAGCACACAGACTGATGATGATCCCTGAGGAGGGGGATTTGAGAACTGTTATCTACAGGTGGTGGTGCCGTACGTAGTATTCTGCCAGTCGACCTCCAGAACGAGCCATGTGCTGCTGTAGCTGCTTTTTCCCAAAGGGACACGTTAATAATCGGCACGTTACAGGTGCTCGTATGTATCGGCAATAAGATGCTCACCGAGATTGTTGCTGTTTTTTGGCCACTGGCTAGGTATTCTGCGGAGTGGGAGCACCGGGCCGACAACTGTAGACTTGGAGTGAAACGCGAGGTGGCGGTAGGGAGTTCGCTGAATCGCGTGTGTGAACGTAAGTGCGCTGGGGGGGGGGACGGGTTCAAAATGTGTTTGGGGTTGGAGCCCGGAAAAACAAACGTGCCCGAACTATTTTGTGGTAGAAAACAGACGATCTTCAGCGAACATTTTTTTGCAGTTTGCCAAGTTTGCGAAAAAAAAAATGATCTGTAACATTTCGTAAAATATGTGCTACAAGTAGATGACTCTATAAAGCAGCAATTCACAGAGCAACTGTCAAATAGCAAGGCGAATTTGGTGGCAGGCCCGCATGCACACACACGTAGAAAATAACGGCGGAGGGTTTCTCTCCCCGACGCTCTCCTTGTCGTACTGTAGAATCCTAGCAGCCCACCCGGCAGAGCACTGCAGCAGCAGGATGTTCTGTAAACACCTGGGCCTCTGCATTGCTGCTGTTGTTGTATGCCAGGGGTACTACTGTACATGTATACAGACAGGGATAGAAGTTCGTTGCCAAATGCTGCTGGGATACCCTATGCATATATACAGCAGTATGTGATTGGTAATATTTTCTTGTTTGGCATCGCGTGCCGAGCGGGAGCGATGGGCTCTACAAGGTATCTATTTACCATTCATACGTACTCTGTACGCCGCCTTAGTGCCTGATCTTATGGCCATCAACGTCTGTTCGAGTTGGTGTATCGTGTAAATGATGTGTCCCGGGTCGTTTTTCTACTTGTGTAGACTACCATTGATTTTTTTTTCGGGGGTATACAGCAGTTCCATGTTGGGTAGTTAGGCTGTGACCACGGAAGGAAGGCTTCCGCGTCAGTATGGTGGTATGTGGTACGGGTGTTAAGGAGAACCGGTTTTAATGTAAGACAACGAACACCTCTTATCTACTCACTGGATACATTCATACTTCCGGAGGTTGTTGTCTGCACATGATGAATAGAAACGGTTTCGCTCTCTCCTCAGCACCTTTTAACGTCCATCCACACCGGTCCTCCTGCTTTTTTGTGTGTTACTGCTGTCGCGGGCTGCTTATGGAAAGATCCTATAAATATCGACGGGTGTTGTGTGTGTGTGTGTGTGTGTATTTTTTTCGTTCCATCTGTTGTGGACGCCAGTATACGCCTTTCGTTATTTTTGTCGACGCATCAGCAGGGGTCGCACAGGAGGTGGGAAAACCAAGAACACCGACTGGAGTTTTTTTCTCCGCATTTCCTCCTGCGGTGCTTGCCGGAAAGTGTCAACAAGCGCGAAGGGTTCGGCAATCCCTCCCCCTCTATGTTGTTGCATGTACTCTAACGACAGCTGTATGCGGTTGTTTGAATCAGAACCGGAATTTTTTTACGCTGAGGTTACCAACCAAACCATTCAGCCACAGCTGTTGCTGATGGAGAACAAGCACAAAAACATACTTCGTATTAAAGTACACCCGAACAAACCACCTAGCTATCCGCGTACCGTAAGAAGCCGAGGAGTGGTCACCGTCTTGCACCCTTCCATGCTCGTGTCCGGGGCTCGCTGTGTGTGGAATCGAACGCATGTATTTTTTTCGACATGAGTATTTTCTTTTCTGACGGGACGCAAGCATCCGAAGCTGTGTGTCAATCTAGAATAAATCGCACCCGACCTCAACCCTCCAAAATTGAACTCACCCCAGGTTTCGAGCGTGGAATACCGTTCCGCAACGTGTCCCGCTCTTCATCGCCGGTGAGCACGCGCGCTCCTTTGCGTGCCAAGAAAAAATAAAAACACCATGCTCCTCGCCAAGGCGGCATCGCTCCAAGCCCTGGCCTTGGCGTTCGCAGGGGGGGGGGCATCAGCGGCACCTGCCCAGCCGCACCCGCCCCTCTCCGTCATACGAGGCGCCCTCTTGACGACGGCGGGGGAGACGTTTCGTCACCAGGGGGAGTTCAAGGCCGCGGTCGAGTGGCACGAGGCGCGGCTCGACGACGCCCGGCCTGCGCCCTACCTCGCGTGCGCTTCGACGGACAGCAGCGACCGAAGCGGCGGCGGAGCGACGCTGTCGCACGTTCTCGGGGCCGGCGCCATCGGCGGCCGCGTGGTCGCCAGCTCGGCCGAGCACGGCGTCTGCGTCGTGGCCACGGCGACGCCCGGCCAGGCGGAGAGCGTCTTCCAGGGACAGCAGGCCTTCTCCTCGTGGGCAGCCTTTCCCTCCGCGCTAAAGCTCGCCCCGGGGCTCTTGGACCACCCCCACGGCGGTAGGGACGGCGGCGGGGACGGCCGGCTGAGGACGACTCACGGAGAAAGGCTTCGTCGACCGAAGGACCGCAAGGGCGGTAGCGGGGGTAACGGCAACGGGGGCGCCGGCACCGGCGGCAGCAGGGATGTCGGCGGTAGCAGCGGGGGCGCCGGCGGCAGCGGTAGCCGTAGCGGCATCGGCGACAACATCGGCGGTGGCCCGTCTAGCGTCACTGGCCTTACGGTCGAGCTCGCGCCCGGAGTCCTGGCGGCGACGAACAGACGGGGCAGCGGCGGCGGCGGCGGCGGCGGCGGCTGGTACGCGAGCAGCGGCGAGCTGACCGACGAGTGGCGTGAGGAACTCATGTCCGAATCGCTCGACGTGCACGGCAAGAGCTTCTGGTCGTCTGGCTGGTCGGCGAAGCTTCTCGACGAGGCGGCTGCGGAAGGGGCAGGCGACTCGTTGGGAGGAGGGCCGGGGGAGGTGCTTGCGAGGGAGTGGACGCGAGCGGCCGACGTTCTCCGGGGGCTTGGCGGGGCCGAGGGCGGCCCGACGATCGGAGACGTCTGCTCGTGGGACGGGTTGGTGGTGGTGCACACGGATGATGATCTCCTCACGATGAAAGGTAACACCACGTTGTTGGTTCGGCTCGGCAACAACGTGTTTTGCCCCTGCGTCGCCGATGATCGAAGGTAGCGGGTGGTGACCACACAAACTTCGGGAGTTCAATTATTTGGCTATCTTGTGGCAAGAGGCATCGGTTTACCAGGTCAAGACATATCGCAAGGGGTAATAGAGGGGGAGAGAGAGAGACGTGGCGGCAGTGTCTAGGAACGACCGGTGGCCTCGGCCGGGCCTGGGAGAGAATGTTTACCTCAACCACGATTCCGTTGAGACTGCTGGAAGGTTTTCGGAGTTTTTCTCGGGACTGAGATGAGTCAAAACGGCAAGGAATGGATTTGGCGGCCGCCCATACCAGCCATCTACCGTCTCGACACGACAACGCATAAGCATACAAACGACACTTGTGAATGGACGGGAACTACCGATGAATAGCACTATGTCTTGAATAGTGACTAATCAAGCGCCAGTTTCGTGCCTCCTCCCACCCCCGTCAACAAGCACTGTCTTGTTGTGTGTTTTCTTGGGATTAGTTTCTCAAACCGAAGTTGTGCCGGGGAGAGTTCTTTCGGTAACTCCGGCATCTATCGCAAGGACAATGGCTCGTTCCCCCTCGCATAGCATCGATGTCTATCATTGACAACACTATGCCTTGTGCTTCCCCTGTATGCGGCATGGACCATTTATCATTGACGACACAATGCCTTGTTCTTCCACAGGCATGGACCACCTCCTGCCTATGTAGCAGGCAAGGACCATCCATCGCTGACAACACAATGCCTTGAGCTTCCCCTGTATGCGGCGTGGACCATCTATCATTGACGACACAGTGCCTTGTGCTTCTCCTGTATGCGGCAAGGACTTTCTACAACTGACAACGCAATGGCTTGCGTGCTTCCCCTATGATGTAACAGGCATGGACCACCTCCTGCCGGAGGGCAGGGGAGCGGGCGGCAACGAGGGTCCCGAGGCCGACGAGCTCCAGGTGGCGTGCTTCATGGCGCTCCTGTCCTTCCTCGCCTCCCGGCCGGAGGTGCTTCGGGTGTCGCCAGCGCGGGCGATCAAGCTGCTCAACGCCGCGGCCTACCACAACGTGCAGAGCGCCAACCTCACCGAGTCGCCGATGACGGACGCGGGGCTGGACGGGACGGGCGAAGTGATCCAGGTGCGGCCGGCGGGCGTAACTCGTCCCACGAGCGTTTTTCTCTTTTTCCCTGGGTAATGTATGTAGTAATCGCGGTAACCGCCGAACACGTGCTTTTTTTTTTTTTCTCTTTCCCTGGGTATGTAGGAATCGACGTACCCACCGAAGACCCTGTTTTTGTTTTGTTTTCCCCTGTGAAGTAGTACCCTGCAGAAGTGCTGTGGATGCGAACGTTAATTGGAAAATAAATGTAGTGGATGAAGGTAGCCATGAAGTAGGTCTATGTGGGTGGGTCGCCAAGACCTCCCGTCGCAGTCGTGTTTGGGATCCACTCGTCATGCGGGCGGGAAGATCCGCGAAAAACAGAGCGGGGTCAAACAGACATTGCATCGATCGGATCGTCCGGTTGGTTTCGACTAGGGGGGGGGGGGGGGTTCAGTAATACCCATACCCAAGTGCATGCCCCTCGTATGCCAAAATTGTGACAAGAGGTAGAAATATGAAATATATACATGACCTTTGTCACCCATTCTTTGCCCCTTGGTTTCCGGCGTAAAATTTTCTCGTGTCCTGATCCCCTTTTGGAACTCCTTGCTGCGGCTTTGCCTCTCGCACTGCAACAACAACATCGCCACCCCTGGTCGTCAGATCGTGGACACAGGCCTCGACGTGAACTCTTGCTTCTTCGTGGACGAGGACGGTGGGGAGGGGGTGGCGCACGGCCACTACTTCGAGGAGATCGGCGTCGAGGCGAGCGCCCTCAGCAGCTGGTTCACCTCGTGGGACTTCAACCTCCAGATCGCGCGGGTCTTCACGGGCGGGGACTTCAACTTCGACCTCAGCAGACGCAAGGTTTGCTTGTTGTTGATGTTGATGTTGTTGTCGTTGTTGTTGTTGTTGGTGGTGGTTGATTGCCCGTTGCTATATTTTTTTAAACCTCGAGCAAGAAGAAGACGGACAACGACAGGGTCTGGCAGTGGTGAGTGACGTTGTTTACGCTCTCCGCAAGTAACTTTGAATATCCCTGCATGCCTACCGACTCTTGTCTATTATTGGTCGGCCTGCTCCAGCTGCTCCAGCTGCTCCTGCCGCCGCCAGCGTGCACCAATGGATTTTACAACACGACGCCCCCCCCCCCGATCGGTACCCCCCCCCCCCTACCGCAACGGAATTGGGTTTTCGTCGCTTGGCAACGACGTTGTAAAACAAGCCAGTTCACTTCGTGAACTCGGCAACCAGGTTACCGGGGTTTTTTTTACCTCTGTTTTTGTTTTGGCGGTAACCATAATGGTGGTCGAGTAGATCAAGTTGTGCGGGGTGGAGAAACCTCACTCCGCGCAAGGGGGATGATCGCACCACGTTGTGTTAAATTGGTCAAACATCCTCGAGGCAGCTGCACAGTGCTTACACTGTCTCTGGAAGTGAAAGCACCAGAAAATACATTAAGTCATACGCAGCTGTCATCCGTACGCAAGGAAGTAAGCACAAGATGCCGAACACCCTTAGCAGGATGCAGCTCACCCTTCATGCGACTCGCCGAATACCTCACGGTGCTTCGCGCTTGGTGATGTGAGAGCCTGGTCCGGTGAGAACCCGGCGTGCTCCGTCCCGGCTTTGTAGGGATGCGAGGTCAATGGTCTAACGACTACGGCATGCACGACTATGAGTACACCCCCCCCCCCCCACACACTATGCATATCACGACCTGGGACTACCAGTACTTTTGGGCCGGGTACGAGGCGATCGATCTCGATCGGTTGTGCCCCCGGCTGGACTGCGACGACCGACCCGAGGAGTACTGCTTGGGAGATGACGAGGCGGAGACGCTCCAGCAACACGGGGGTGTGGCGAGAGGCGCACAGCTGGCGATCTTTGACATACTGGACGATTACACAGGTGGGGTGTAGCACTGCCGTTTGCCCGTGTGGAAAGCGATCGGTCGCGTGTGGGCGGTGGTGGTG